ACGCAGTCACTTCCACACAGGCAGGGACCCAGACGCAGTCACTTCCACACAGGCAGGGACCCACACGCAGTCACTTCCACACACGCAGGGACCCAGACGAGGTCACTTCCATCATTCCCAGGGCTCAGCTCCTGCCCCCTGGAAGCTGGGGTCCAGAGGATACGGGGGAGTGGCCTGCTCCCCTCTGCTAGTCAGTGTGCAGACTTCTGGGGGATTCTGCTAGGGGATAAGCCAGGCGGGGATTACCCAGCTCCTGCCTCAGCCCCAAGCTCTTCTGGATCCGGGAACACTCACACAGGTGTAACTACTACCCCTCCAGGCTGCCCTCATCAAGGGGTGCCTAGCTCCCCACAGGAGACAACTGGGGGTCAGAGAGAAGCAGTAGTGGGGGCTGTGAATATTTGGAAAAGTCTATCTGCTGTCACCCACGGGGGAGCACCCTCGAGAGAGCCCCAGGAGGAAAGCATGGAACCCTGGGCGCAGCCCCTGCTAATTCTCTGGGGCACCTCTCTTTGGTTCCTCATTGCAGAAAGATAACGAACATGCTCCTGTCTCCCAAGGGCTGAAGGGACGGTCCAGAGAAGGTTTTTGGAGCCCTGTGAGCACGTCACAGAATAATCTGGTCAAAGCGCTAGAGGCCTGGGCCTAGCCCCGAACCTCTGGTTCAGCAGGGTGCGGTGGGCTTTGCACAGTGGGGGAGGGGGACGCTGCCGGTCCACAGGCCCCACTTCGACTAGGCTGTGGCCCAGGAGTCTTACCTCCTTAAGGCTGTCAGGGTGCGGGAGGCTAGAGCAGCAGTTATTACCTGGGAAAGCGTAAGATGCGAACTCTCCACCCTGCTGAGTCACACACTGGGTGGGGCCCAGCGGTGTATGAACAAGCCCCCAGGGGTGCTGATGCAGCTGGTGAGAACCGGGCTGCACCGGGAAGTGAGTCAGGAGCAGCAGCGCTGAGGCCTCTCCCGGGACCTGTCTGGGTTCTAGATAACAGACCGCAAAGGTGCCAGGTCCCCCCCCAGGACAGGGGGGACAGGGGGTGCAACGGAAGGGGGCTGAATCAGGGAGATCGGGTCTGGCAGCCGAGTGCAGCACAGCAGAGGGCAGTTTCTTAAAGAGAAGCCAGGAGAAAAGTCGGACTTGAGAAAAGGTGTGCACTCTAAATGCACCTGAGGTCCCGGGGGCTGGGAGGATGAGGGGAAGGTGGGGGCTGCCAGGAGAAAGGGCCGGAGAAATCCGAGGATTCCTGGGGCCAAGTGCAGGGTGAGGCGCCCGGTCACGGCCTGCCCGGGGTGCCCTGCGGTCAGTCCAGACCCCCGTCCCAGCAGCCCCCTTAGAACTCAGCCAGCCTGGGCCTCAGTGTTCAGCCCTCAGCCTGAGTTAACCATGTTGGTCAATGAAATGGCTGACCGGCCACTGCGAGGCCACCCCCTCCCAGGAAGGTCTGGTTTTGTTTCCGCACTTCCAGAATCTTCCGCCTGTGCTTCCAACAACCTATAAAAATGTCCTGGAGATTCTAGCAGGTTGGCACCCAAGCTATGTTGACACAAGCTATGCAACCTCTGTCGTCAGACACGGTCCGGATGGAGGGGAATTGCTCTGAAAAATCAGACTTTCCACGCTAACTTATGTTATGACCTCCCTTTTTTGTATAATTGTAATATCAAAATATTCTGAGCAACTTTCAGCTTACAATTGGATTGCCTCAGCCGCATAAGGCCTGCCTGCCCTGACAAGCAAGCACTGCACCAGGGTGAGAAATTCCCCTGAAGTCAAGTGACTTGACTACTGACTGATAAAATTAAAAGGGCTGTTTTTGCAAAGTCTCTCTCACTGCAGGATGGAGGAAAACCCAAATCTTATCATTCTATTATCTCACCTAGCCTTCTATTCAGCTTCTAAAGAATTACTCAAACTTCTTATTGTCTGGCTTTTAGATGTGGAAATTCATCCAGGTTGCCGGTTTTTAAACTAGTCAAGTTTTCTACCTGCTACACCTTAAAGGAGTCCACATAAGTCTTCTGGCTAGTCTTTCAGGATTCTACTATGCAGTCTTTAGATAAAGAAATTCACCTATGTCTCCTATTCAGAGATTTGATTAGCAAGGAATTTCCTCTTCTGTCTCCCAGGATGACTCAGGCAGAAAAACAAAAACCCATTAAGTAGTAGATAAGGTTTAAGGGACTTCTATCTTAGTTGATCTCCACTATAGTAATATTAGTCATAACCTTTGTGCACCTATGTACCTGTTTTTAACCTTGATTGATTTTAGAATGTGATATCTCAGCTAAAGGGCAATACGATCTTAAGCTGTTCTTAGAAAAAAAAAAAAGAATGGTAATCTCTCAGCCCAGTTCGTGTGCTGATGTCATCCCACTGCTTGCTCCTAATGTATAAAATAAACCTCTGCTGAAGGCAGAGTGGGAAGACTTGCACCCAACTCCGACTCCCGTGTCTTCCTCGCCCTCCTTTCCCCTTTTTCTCCTTCTCCCCTTTTTAGGAATCTCTGCTCGCCGATGCCTTCCCACCTTGGGGTCCTGCCTATCTTGCCTCCAGACACCTCAATAGTTGGAGCTGGTCTCCAACACTATGTATTCTGGGCTCCCTCTCCAGCCAGGGGCACTGGTTTTTCCCAGGCATGGGGTGACGTGAGACACGTGGGTTTTGGTCATGGGGTCCCCGGTGTTCTTGCGACGTGTGGTTAGGAAGGAGAGGTCAATTTAGGGGCTTGTGTCTTAGATTACACACATGTCCACGTGCTCCCCAACTGCATCGGGGGCCCCGTCTGGCCTCCTGTAACTGCCAGTTCCCATTGGTCTTCAGCGGTTGCCGGGGTGATGGGTGGGCAGGGAAGGTGGCCCTAGCCTGGCTCTGGGGCAGCAGGACATCTGATAGGCACTCAGGACTCTGGGGAGTCTCAGCTTCCACCCCAGGCCTTCCATTGGCCCCAGCATCTCAGTGCCCCCATTGTTCAGCTGGTGCCCTGTTTGGTGACTGGCACCCCCTGCCCCAGGGCCCTGGGCCGTCACCCTTCCTCACTTCCACCCCAGCCAACAATTGAGACTTTCCATGGGAGCGGCAGGGAGACTGCAAGGTGCTCTGTCACCACAGCAGCGGGGTCAGCCCAGCCCAAGCACAGGTAAAGGAAAGGTCACTCATGGAGCAGCCCTTCCGTGGTGACACACCACAGCTACCCAGATTTCCATTTCCAGAAGAGGAGCGCAAGGCCAGCGGAAGGAAGGTGTTGCCTGAGACCTCACAGCAAGTGAACGGCCGGACCCAAGAGAGGACAAAGCCACCTTCCAGGCCCTCATCGGCTGAGACTCACTCCTGCCTCAGGGCCTTTGCACGGCTGCTTCCATGCTCTCCAGGGCCCATCTCCCCAGCCCCATGAGCTCCATCCTCCACTCAGGTCCTAGCTGCACTGAAATGTCACCTCCTGGGAGAAGACCCCATGGAGAGTCGTCCCTCCACCTCTTGACAATGCTTATTCCTCTCTGTTTCTATTTTTAAAGATTTATTTATTATGCACACAAGAACTGGGGTACAAGCCAGAGGTGCAGGGGGTGAGAGGATTCCCCAGAGACAGAGTGGGAAACAGAGCAGGCAGATGGAGTGAAATCCACTGCTGAGGGGGGCAGCAGGGAGGCAGGAGAGGTCTGCTCGCCCTGTGGGTCACTCCCTGTCTGGTGCGGCAGGGGCTGCGAACAGCGAACAGCTTCATGGGTGCTGCGCTCTAACCTGCTGCACCAGGGCGGGGCGCGTGTTTACTCCTCTCTAACACTGCATGTTGTGTTATATATTACACCTTTATTATCTATTTAGCCCAGGAGGATGTGAATTTCATTAAGGCTGAACATCCCACTGGCTCCAGTCCCCAGCGTCTGGCCGAGTAACAGCAGGAGACTCTCTCTGGCTGGAGGAGGCACCTTGCATAGGGATCAAGGCTAATCTTCACAACCTGAGACAAGACCCTTTCTCATTCCTATTCTGCAGATTAGGAAGCCGAGAAGTGGCTCCAACGTTCAAGAGCAGGCAGGCGGGGCCTGGACCAAACCCGGCCCAGCCTGCCCTTTCCTCCCTGCCCGGCCGCTCCCCCAGCCTGGCCCTCTTACCTCCGTTGGAGAGCTGGGGAGGTGCGGCTGGCCCTGCAGGGGCCTTCCAGGGGCCCGGCCTCCCGGCTGAGCCGGCCCCGGGGCCTCTCCCTGGGGTGGGAGACTCCCGGGGGCGGCCAGGCCGGGCCTCGCTGGCTGCCCGTCTCACTTCGGCCACCGCCTCATCCCGACGTGGGGGCGCCAGGGTGATAAAGACGGACGAGGCCACCCTCTTCTCAGGCTTCGCGGCCATTGCCTTGGCTTCTGGTGGGGCTGCGGGCAGAGGGGGGCTCAGGGCACAGGTGGCACCCCACCTGGGCATGCACACCCACCGTCGGGGCGCCAGGTCACCTGGCTCAACAGCCCCACCGTGCCTCACCCCAGCTGCACACCTCAGGGAGCAAAGGGCAGCCTGGCTTGCTCGACTCACCAATGATTAATTCTCTTCCTCCCAGGAGCCCGAGGAAGGAGCAATTTCCCTAGCTCCCCCCCCCCCCGTCCAGCTGACAAGGCCACCTGGCCACACCCCAAGTTACCTCCCTGATCTGGGTCCGGATTCTCCTAGGAAAGCGGCAGTTCCCGACTTCAGGCCAGCTCAGCTGTGGGAGGGAAACAGCAAAGACTGTCAGAGCCCCAGACTGGCCTCCGGAGGCAGAGGGGACGGAGGAGCCCCGGACTGGCCTCCGGGGGCAGAGGGGACGGGGGAGCCCCGGACTGGCCTCCGGAGGCAGAGGGGGCGGAGGAGCCTCGCACTGGCCTCCGGAGGCAGAGGGGACGGAGGAGCCTCAGGCAACCGTTGTCCCAGGGCGCTTGTCGGCCTCGGCCCCGCACTGGCCGAAGCGCTTGCTGCCCGTAGTTCAGAAATCGTCCCATCGCTGCCGAAGGGTGGGGGCTGTCGCCGTCACCCCGTCCTACAGGCAGGAAACGGGTCCATCCAGCAGGAGCAGACTGGGGTGGGAGCTGCGAGGCCACTTTCGCTGCCCTGCTCCAGCCCAGCCAAGGCCAAGGTCCCTTTCTCCCCCACCAGCCTCCACAGCCGTGGAGCCTTGATCCCACTGCCCGCCTCTCTGTCCAAACCTCCAAACCCACCCTGGCTCCAGCACGGAGGAGGGTGTGGGCGGGAGCCCCAGTGACCCCTAATCCTATCACCTACCTCATCCCTGGAGTGATCTTTCTAGAGCACACGTGTTTCTCTTCTACTCAAGAACCTCCCAATGCTCTACTACCGTCAAGATAAATTTCACACAAATGGCCCTGACCTCACCCTTTTTGACTGTTTTTCTGCCTTGGAGTGATTCTGCCACCTGTTCCCCCTCTCCAGCTCTATCGTTACCTCCTCCAGGAAGTCGCCCGATTCCTGACCCTCTCTGGGAGCAACTGGCTGCGTCCACAGGGCGATGAGAGCCCATCACCAGACACGCTGGCTCACCACCACCATATCGGTCCCCCCGCGCCCCCCCCCCAGCGACCTCATGTGCCTTCAGCTGAATCTGCCATCTAGGAGCCAAGTCTAGCTCCCACTGTCAGCCTCAAAGCTCAGGCTGGGACAGGGGTCACCCTCCTGGGCTCCTGCAGACAGCAGTCCCTGGGCACGGAGCCCACTCAGCCCAGTCGTCTCCCCAGGTCACCCAGGGCTGTGCAGAGGTGAAAACGTGCCCTTTTTAGATCTAAGGCCTCGGCCGGGCGACACTGACACCCCCCCCCCCAGGCAGGCCCCCGTTAACCGGGGCCCCGTTGCTTGACCTTCAGGAGTTGGGGTTGGGGGGGGCCCTAAGGGACCCTGTTGGTGGACTTGGAGTTCCAGCTCTCCCTCTGCATCTCCAAGGGCCCTGGCACCAGGGGCTGCTTGGTGACTGATGGACAATAAAAACGGAAGGGCAGGCAAAGCTTGTAAACTCCTCTGACACAGCTTATGTGTGGTTTATCAGACACAGCTCGGTCTGATGAAATAGCTCTTGTAAGTAAGCAGCCCATTCCTGAAGGCCGCTTGCAAGGTTCAAATACTTCTCCGGTTGCGAAGTGACATTGGGAAGTAAGTGAGGTTCGATGGGCCGGCATCTCTTAGACATTATATGGTGTTTGTTACAAGTTTAAGAATCTATTTTTGTGAAGGATTTTCGGAGAGCAGCTGAGTTTCACATACAGGAAGGACACGGCCCTCTCTGGTGGAGCAGCGGGTTGGGGCGCTGCACTGCGAAGCTGAGCCAAGCCGGGGCGGAGGCAAGCCTGGCGGCTTCGGTGCAAGAGTTCGATCCCACCCCGGAGGTGACCCCCAGGGCGCGGCAGACCTCTCCTGACCCGCCCCCTGCTCCCCTCAGCAGTGTACTTTGTCGATCTGCCTGCTCTGCTCCCCACTGTCTGTGGTGAGTGCTCTCACCGTCCCTGCACCAAAAGAGTGTGAATTTTTTCAGGCCTAACTGCAAACTGCAGGATCCTAACAGCAAACCCTCTGCTCTGGCGAGAAAAGGTGCCCTTGGACCTGAGACCACACTGCTTCCCTGCATGGCCCTGGGGGGCCCAAATCCGGGCCAGTTCTCTCCCAGAATGTTCTAAATTTGGGCCAATTATCCTGTGGGGTGGCTGCCCTTCACCCCCCCAGCCAGCTCCCAGCCCCACCCCACCCGGCTCTGGCCCGACCCACCCCTCCGGGAAGTCAGCTCCACCAGGTTCTCAGTAATTATCTGCGGCCAAGGAAGCAGCACAGAGGCCAGATGTTCACAGCTGGGCAACCTCCCCGCCCCTGGCCACCCCTCCCGGCGCCTGGACAACAGGCCAGGGGCAGGAAGGGGACCCTGGGCTTCCCTCTGGTCATGCACCCTGGAGTCTGGCATCTGCAAGAAGGTTCAGGGCGGACCAGCCTCCCAGCCAAGGGCGCCTAGGACCCCCGCCCCCACCCTTCCTTCCCCCGGGGCGATCTGAGATCCAGTTGGGTAAGCAGAGAAAGTGGGAACAAAGGGAAGGAAAGTCATTTCCTGTCAAGAGGAAGGAAGGAGGCCGAGCTCCAGCCTCCCACCCGGCCCGGCTCCAGGCAGCAGTCTGTGGCAGGGGGCGGCAAGGGGACCGCAGCCGCAGAGGGCCCCGGGCTCCCCCGACCCCACCCCTGTCCCCCTTCCTATTATTTCGGCTCTCTCCAAAAGCAGCAGCAACTTGGAACTATCTCGAAGTCTGGTTCTTTATTCGCCAATGAAGCAGTCTCTACTTGGGTTCAAAAGGAAACGTCACTAGAGTTGGGGTGGGCCTCCGCCTGCCCCCAACCTAGAGCCTCAGGGGCTCCCTCTCCCTCTCTCACCCCAGGGAAGTGGAGGAAGCGCAGGAGCCGGGTCATCCGGGCTCCACCTCTTTCCTGCTGGGTGACCCCAAGCAGGTCACTGGACCCGTCTGGGCTGCAGTGTTTCACATATAATGGCCAAAGCTGAAGGCTGGCCGAGTCCACAACATAGGTGCTCCAGACCGTGGCACTGGCAGGTCCCAGGAGGCGGGCTGGGGTGGGCTGGGGAGGACAAGAGTTAGGGTCCATCCTCGTGGAGAGCAGGAATCTGGGTGCTGCCCAGCCTGGGGTCCTCAGAACTCCCTGGTCGCACCTTGGGGACCCCCAGTTCCACTCCTTTCCAGTCCCCTCTGGGGATTCAAGGCCCCGGGACTCCTGCCTGACCCTGGCTGGGTGAAACGGCCCCGGAGCTCCAGCAGCCCCGCGCCCTCCGCAGGCAGCCCGCGGGCCGCTGGCCGGGTCACTGTGGGGCGCCGCCGGGAACTTTAATTCGATCCATGTGCGGGCCGCCGTCCTTTGTGCGGGAGCCCTGCCCACCCTTTGCCGCGGCGCCCCGCTCCGGCGCAGGACACGACCCGGAGCCCAGACCTGGCCCGCCCCGCTCCGGGGCCCGGGG